TAGTAGTAGTAGTAGTAGTAGTAGCCCGTACACAGTGTACTTACAGAGTTGATAAAGCATTAAAGAATGTGTAACTAACGTTTAAGGTGTAAACTACCAGTTTGGATATATCGTGTTTTAGTGACACAGTTTCCGTCCAATGGCCAAGGAGGTGGCGTATCATTGTATCCCATTTAGCTGCTCCCGGTCCTGCTATATCACAAGGTCTATGCCAGTGGTGACATTTATGTCAGAGTTTGGGCCTCGTTAAATGTTTAATACTACCGTGACAAGATCAACATAAATGACAAGCATGTCTGTTATGGTGCCATGGGGTCAGGCACCATCAAGTGATAGGGCATTGTTTTCGAGTCAAGTAACCTGTTTTGAAATGATTAGTTATTATAAAAGGTTAGATAACAATATAATTATATATTTGAGTAAAATGTCAGCTTATCAAATGATCCTTCGCATCAACTATAAATAAATTTTGTAAAAAATTATCATGGAGATTTTGATGTCCAAATTAGTTTTTTTATATGTTTTCAATATTTCTTCAATTCAAAATGCAGTATCTCTAAATCGCTTTTAATCCTGGTATGTTTGAGATATAAGTGTTTCTCACCAAGACGTTGATGTGAAATCATTGAGTAAATTCTGGAAACAATTTCTTTTAAGATCTGAAAATATAACCATAGGTTTGAAATGCTTCTTTGAGTGGCCTTTTTTTAAGTTGGGAAGTACAATAAAGTCAAACTTTATGGATAACAACTTCTTTATTTAATGAGAGCGACGTTTCGATACAGATTCTTGTACCTGCTTAATAACGGTACAAGGATCTGTATCGAAACGTCGCACTCACGAAATGAAGATTGAAGTTGTTATCTGTAAAATGGGTCTAGGTTGGATAAGCATATAACAAAATGATCACGTGAAAACCAAATCAAGTCTACATTTTTAAAATCTTTTATTTAATCTTTCTTTCTACACAACACTTCAACATGGAGTAAATAAAGAAGGGACGCACCGAGTGTCATGTCAGGGGAAGAAGATATATGACACAACAGTGTTGTAAATATGCTTAACTTAGCAAATATGTCGCTTGCTGAAATGTTCATAAGCATCATAAATCTCTCCATGTGCATCACAGGTGGTAAGTCCATTTACGTACAGGTAGGCATGTCCCGTATATTAAACAGATTCGTCACAACATACACTGCGCTACATTGACCTTCATTAAGCTTCATAGTGATCTTAGTAACTTCATGGAGACACAATATGATAGTATGTGCTTAAATAGAAGACTTTATTACTTAATACGGTTGCACTTGCATGGGAGGTGAGGTGAGGTGAAATTGGGTTTAACGTCGTACTTGAGAATATTTCGCTCATATGACGACGTGCATGCGTGTGTATGTGTATGTGCGGCTGCTTGTACTAGCCCAGACTGAAGCTGGTTTTATAGTGCTAGCTCACTGAGATACCATCCCGCAGTGAAGCATGAATACCTCACTCAGACACATTATACTGACTCGAGCCGACCAGTCCTTGTTGTACCCATTAGTGCCGAGCGCCAGGCAGGGACCAACAAGTACCATATTTAAACGTCTTTTGGTATGACGCGGTCGGGGATCGAACCCGCGACCTTCCGCTCTCCAGGCGGACGCTCTAACCACTACACCACGGAGGCGGTTCACTTGCATGTAAACGAATGTACGTGTACATGGGTAGTCTCTAACATCCACAAACGTCTTAGCACCTTTATAAAATCTGACATTTTTTTTTGTTTCAACCTTTCAAACTTTGTTCTCTGTAAATCCGTTCCTTATAATACAATTTCGCTTAAAGTGAACACAGCGGGTCAAAATGAAATGGGCACCGCAGCATTACTGATTTTGAAAAACGTAACATCTTGCTTAAGAAACCTATTAACAAGCTGACATCTAGGCAAAGAAGAAGTTTTTCAGTATAAAGGCCACAGACTCATACATACAGCGTGGTGGAGGTGGTGGAGGTGTCGAGAAAGCTGTATAAATAACGAGTCAATGAGGAACGAATAGATTCTTCTTTGACACAGTTTGAACACTTAATTAAGATCTTTAAATCTTCAGAATTGACAGAACAGAATTGAGTGTCTATTGTTTTAAACTGCATGTATGGAAATATTCCTGTCTCAAATCGTTATAAATTGGGCATTTAAACATAAACGGAAATCATATTCATTGCATTATGATGACAAAATACACTCTCTTCTGCTCCTAGGCGTCCTTGTTACAGTGCCACTTGTTTTTGTGGTTAACACGATGAACGCTATTAGTCAAGGCCCCGTGAATCTGGTAATCTCGCGATTCTGTATCTATACGCAGGTTTTTTTCTGACATGAAGGAAGTATTCATAATCCGCGTATTTTTTTATTTCTTTATGGGTGACGTCACTGGGAACAGAACCGGCAAGTTTAACGAGAAGCCGTTGTAATAATGCAACCACTAGTGGCCATGACTACCCTTATCAAGATTCTGTGTCGAGACTACAGTCCGTTTGAGTCAGCAACGGACCGATGAATTGCAACAGATAACAACTGCCGCGACAGATAGCGTTTTCAATGATGATAGTTTCTTAAACAACTTTTTTGGTGGAGTCCGGAAAATTTTCAAATATTAGAAGGCTGTTGGGTATTAGTAAATGATAAACATGTGTACTATTCATATTTATGTGGCAATTTTGTACAATGATAAAATTTGCAATTCATCGGTCCGTTTCTGACTCAAACGGACAGTACAAATATACGAATTTTTGTCAACTATGGTAACAGTTTTGTTGTAACAAAAAATGTAGGGGAACATGTTTTAAACACTTCGTATTGATTCAAGAATTCTCGAAATAAAGAGCTGTAAACCTCGGAAGCGGACTAAGTTCTTCTCTTTAACAGGACGAATAAAAGAAAATAAGCTTACACTGAAAACGTTCCCCGCTCGTATTTTCCCACAGCCAGGTGTTCTGCTTTATGTGGACAATAACGAGAAGTGAAGAGCGACATTTTTAATCCAGCGTGTATCAAGACTCTGTCAGGAATGTTTATCGCACTGGCAGTAACGTATTACAGGCGTAAGGTACGAGACACTGCAGAGAAACATGTTAACATGATAAACGTAACCCTGTTCTGGATGTCTTGTGTACAGCTCATTGTAGAGAGATGTTCCAGGGTTGTGTGTAGGATCTCATGGAATGGAAATACTGAAGAAATTACTGATTCTTTTTGTGAGTGTAAGAGTGGATGTATTTCGTGAGTGCGACCTTTCGATACAGATTCTAGACAACGGTACAAGAATCTGTATTAATTCCTGCTTCACAGCGGTACAAGAATCTGTATTAATTCCTGCTTCACAACGGTACAAGAATCTGTATTAATTCCTGCTTCACAACGGTACAAGAATCTGTATTAATTCCTGCTTCACAACGGTACAAGAATCTGTATTAATTCCTGCTTCACAACGGTACAAGAATCTGTATTAATTCCTGCTTCACAGCGGTACAAGAATCTGTATTAATTCCTGCTTCACAACGGTACAAGAATCTGTATTAATTCCTGCTTCACAACGGTACAAGAATCTGTATTAATTCCTGCTTCACAACGGTACAAGAATCTGTATTAATTCCTGCTTCACAACGGTACAAGAATCTGTATTAATTCCTGCTTCACAGCGGTACAAGAATCTGTATTAATTCCTGCTTCACAACGGTACAAGAATCTGTATTAATTCCTGCTTCACAACGGTACAAGAATCTGTATTAATTCCTGCTTCACAACGGTACAAGAATCTGTATTAATTCCTGCTTCACAGCAGTACAAGAATCTGTATTAATTCCTGCTTCACAACGGTACAAGAATCTGTATTAATTCCTGCTTCACAGCGGTACAAGAATCTGTATTAATTCCTGCTTCACAACGGTACAAGAATCTGTATTAATTCCTGCTTCACAACGGTACAAGAATCTGTATTAATTCCTGCTTCACAACGGTACAAGAATCTGTATTAATTCCTGCTTCACAACGGTACAAGAATCTGTATTAATTCCTGCTTCACAACGGTACAAGAATCTGTATCGAAACGTCACACTCACGAAATAAAGAAGTTGTTACAAATAACATGCGTCTAAATTGTACTTCCCAACTTCTAAAATGCCACTCAAAGAAGATGTATGAATTGTACTACAGCAGAATTGATGGGTGTTGCATTGGTCCAATGAACAGCAAGTGCCTCCTCTTTGTTGCATGGATACGAAACCTCTGAAGTATAAGAACTTTGGTTTTGTGTCATTTTGCTCCTTGCAACTGACATCAAGGAACGAATTGTTGTGTTTTCATTCGCATTTAACCTACATCAGCACCAGTCATGATAGTGTGGACTATTTTAAGGCAGGTAAATATGTGTCTGTTAATTTATTATACGACTTCATTCTTTTCTAGTTTTCGGATATTGTGTTCATTATTTCATTATCTGGTTTCGTCAATGCTGCCTTCAATATTCCTGCTGTAAGACAAATCATCGCATTTGGACCAGACAATTGAATTATTGGTTTCGTTGGAAACACATCTCATGAGCCAGGATAAGATGGCACGCAGTTTAGAAAAATCTTTGTGAATATTGAATGAAATGATCATGGCAACTCAGAGTGTTCGCAAAAAGGTAGTCTGTCTCACAGTCCCTGAACAACATTAATTTCCCTACTGCCAAGCCCTCTCTGCAGTGCTAAAGCCCTAAATAAAGCAAGTCTAGTTTTTCTCAGGTTCTGAATCTCTGGTCTCCCTAGGGCTCCTTTTCAATATAAATGGGCTTGTTTGTTCCTATCAAATATATATTCAGAGACTAAGCCTTAGTCTAGCAAAAAGGGTAAGCATCCATAAGGTAACAATTATTCTGGAGTAAGTGTCTAGTTATCAACTGAACTTCAGTCCCAAATACATTGACGTATCATTAAGCCTCCCATGACGTTCTTTGACATGCTTTTGTTGATGTTGCAGCCACAGAGACGTTGCTGACGGTGATGCTGCTGCAACTGCTGCTGGTGTTGCAATCTGTGTTCGGCATGACTAACAGCGTGGAGCTACGGTGGTGGCGATATCAGCGAATACAGAAGAAAAACAGAACCTGTAAGATATCATGACGTTATTGCTGTGATGAGGGGTAGTGGGGTAGCCTTGTGGTAAAAGCGTTCTCTCGTCACGCCGAAGACCCGGGTTCGATTCCCCACATGGTTCCACTGTGTGAAGCCAATTTTCTTTCACGCTGTGATATTGCTGGAATATTGCTAAAAGCGGCGTAGACTAAACTCACTCATTCACTCACTCTGCTGTAGATGACGACTGTAACGTGGAGGCGAAGGCGTTCCGTCACGGGCAGGTGTTTGTGCTGGACAGGACGGGGCCATGTGTGAAGTACAGATGCCAGTACGGCGGCTACAAAGTCATTAACCACGGTACACAAGGCACAGATGTTTCTATACCAGATAACGTAGTTCTAGCGACTTAGCTGGGTAAAACGTCACATAACGTCACAAGGCATAGGTGTTTCTATACCAGATTACGTAGTTCTATCGACTTAGCTGGGTAAAACGTCACATAACGTCACAAGGGATAGGTGTTTCTATACCAGATTACGTAGTTCTATCGACTTAGCTGGGTAAAACGTCACATAACGTCACAAGGCATAGGTGTTTCTATACCAGATTACGTAGTTCTAGCGACTTAGCTGGGTAAAACGTCACATAACGTCACAAGGCATAGGTGTTTCTATACCAGATTACGTAGTTCTAGCGACTTAGCTGGGTAAAACGTCGAACACAGACGGCACAGATGTTTCTATACCAGATTGCGTAGTTCTATCGACTTAGCTGGGTAAAACGTCACATTACGTCACAAGGCACAGATGTTCATTTTTTGTACCAGATTACGTAGTTTTAGCGACTTACCTAGCCTCTTTTCATTTTGTACCATAGTAAAACGTAGCGTTGGACGATCAGGATTTACCTTTGTCTTGATTAGCCAGAATGGAGATTGTTCGACATATTTTACGTTTATACACAAGAACGTCAAGCGTTAATTGAAGTCAATTTTAGAGAAAAACAGTTATCATCCATCGGCACACACTTCATGGGAAGTAACGTTTATATGTGACGTGTGCACACACGTTGAAACGATACACAGTATATATTCTTAAAATGAGTTCAGGAGAAAGTCCACTCCGAATAAAACAAAGTAATGTATCAGCATTTAATACCTTTATCTATTTTAATAACGAATTACTTTTATAATTATCACTATTCCACGTTCAAACAATTTGACTACTATATCCGTTATATGTACTCCGAAAAGAGTTTCATTAATGTCGTAGACCCGTGAAGGTCCGGGTTAGAATATTGATCTTCAGTAACCCATGCTTGTCGTAAGAGGCGACTAACGGGATCGATTGGTCAGGCTCGCTGACTTGGTTGACACATGTCATCCGTTCCCAATTGCGCAGATCGATGTTCATGCTGTTGATCACTGGATTTTCTGGTCCAGACTCGATTATTTACAGACCGACGCCATATAGTTGGAATATTCCTGCGGCGTAAAACTAAACTCACTCACTCACTCACTCATTAATGTCGTAGGATGTCAACACGGTTGACTGGTTGAGTAAAGTGTGTGTCGTTATATCGTACCAGTGTGTATTATACAGGTTCACAGTGTCGAGAGGGACGGCGGTGCTGGGATCTGCACTCGTACAGAACCAGCGTGTGTACCCTGGAACAGTGTCTGGAGATTGACGGCCGGGTCAGATTCGTCATCGTTGGTGAAGGTATCCTGATTTCTTTCTTTTATTACTTGACCGTGGAAGATACTGCAGTGTAATACTTTTACGGCAATATTACACTGGTATAGTAATACTGCTAGACATATGACGTCATAATGGTTACAGTTATGACGTTACAATGCTAATACCTCTGTCACAATGGTAATAGACCTTGCTTAACCCGTGGAAAGCTGAGAGTCATCACACTGTAGGCAGTTTCTATCAATTTATGTTGGAGAGTAATAAACAGAATACTAAACTCGCTTCCGTGAAATACCATTTTTTTATCAAACGAGTTAATGATTTGGTAATAAAATCGTATTACACGGAAGGTCGTGTAATATCCACTTTGTATACAGTAAACTGTGTTTAAAACGAATTGACGGACATAACGAACAAATTTGGTCACGATTAGATGGTGCATATATAAGTTGAAATACGTATAACGAACTATGGCTTCGAGGGGCGATCAAAAAGTATGTAGAATCACCAAGAAAACGATACAAATGCAGTTATTTTTATGTTTTAGTTTTTTACTCATATTATCTGTCAAGCTCAAGCAATTTGGTTTTGCTATGTTCCAGTCTCACGATCCCCATTTTGTTTGACCTTTTATCTTGGTACCCTCAAAAAACGCAAAATCTATAATAAATGCATCAAAAACTTCAGGAAACAAAATATGCAAGAAATATTTTATGTAGGACTTTGAGATTGATAGAAGTCCCCTAGAATCACACTTAGATATTAAAGTTCATAAAAAGCAATTTGAAATAACAATCACTTGTCAAAGTGACTCCCCCCTTCATGTTGACTGAAAGTGCTTGTTTTGGAGACACTACCCATCCCCCCTTTCAGACGACGTAATCATAACTTATTCTTATGTTTTCACTTATGCATACATGATGCCAAGGGTTCAAACTCAATACCGAATGGTCACACAAGTGTCAGCACACAATATATTGTAAAAAGTGCCAGGTTGAATATCTGGACACAATGTTTTTGAAAGATTAAAATGGGGTTGTCCTTAACAAATAGCCCCCGACTAAATATAAATCAGGCAATCCAAATCTTTGACTGTTGATCATGAAGGGAAGTCACCCAATACTATAGTGAACATATTTTATATGACATATTTTATCTGAGGGCATACCATTATCCAAGAGGTACCAAATGATAGATCGCTTTTCATTTTCTGCAATTTTGTTAGAAATACTATACCCTAATGTGTTGTGATGACAAATATCTGGTTAACCACATTACCCACACATGGGAAATTATGGATATGGCTTTGCTAAAGATTCCTTCAAAATAAGATGGAAGCTTTTCAAACATTGGAAACCGAGAATATAGTTAGGCTACGTACATTTTGATCGACCCTCGTACAACGAACTAAATCCAGTGGACCCTTTCAGTTCGTTATAACCATGGTTTACCGTTCGTGGAGCATGTACCTTCTTTGTAAAGCATTCTAACATTTAAACATTGGAAATGATTTCTGCGATCTAGTTAGCTAATAGAAATCGTGTAAACAACAACGACTAAACTCGTTTGATTCTGTTTATACGCACCTTAATGGTAACTGTATGACCTCAAAATGCATCACCTCACGATATGGCTGAGATATTGCCGATGTGACGTTAAATATTAACCCACTCACTCAAAATGCATCCCTTTTCCAAAATGTTATATCCGCAGCATTGCAGTGGAGTGAGTATGGTTTTACGCCGCTTTTAGCAATATTCCAGCAATATCACGGCGGGCGACACCAGAAATGGGCTTCACACATTGTACCCATGTGGGGAATCGAACCCGGGTCTTCAGCGTGACAAGCAAACGCTTTAACTACTAGGCTACCCCACCGCCCCCGCAGTATTGCAATTATTCATACTTATTTGACGACCTTTCACCAGGTTGTCAGTTTGAGAAGAAGTGCTACAAGGTCGGCACCACCTGGGTACACAACTGCTACCTGTACATCTGCAGAAAGGAGGACATACACATGGGCGTTGTCTTCAAGTCAGTGCTGCTTGGGGGGCGTGAGTTAGCTTTATACTGCACCTTTAAACTTCATTTTTATCAATTCCATGTTTTAAAATAGTATACATTTATTCACTATTTTACATGAACACATTTTACGTCGAAGTATATATAAGAGAGAGAGACACATATATATCGTTTCTAAATTGTTCCCTTTTCATCTTTTCCTTTCCTGATTTCGGAATGGTTAGATTATCCTTCTTATCAGCAACATATTTTACATCTTCTTTAACTATGTAAATGTCTCATTTACACGCTTTCCATATTAACAACATTTTTATCTATATGAAATCATTTCCATCAATAGATCTGTTTAAACAAGGAATATCTTCAGCATTTTTACGAATTAATCCATTATTATCAATCATATTCACAAACACATTCTTTGCAAATTAGATTTCATTATATTCTTCACTAACCAACAGAATTTTATATCTATCGTTTTAAGACGTGTATTACTTACAATAAAACGAGAGCCTTTCTTCGTTCGGATCATTTTATACTTATTTACTAATCGATATAATTTTAAACTTTACCAATGTTATTTTCTTTAAATGTTAAATCAGATAAATCATTATGCAAAATTCTCCAGTAATCACTTTTCTCCACTTGAATATAAAGTCCTCTATGTAATTTGTAAAGCATTTAGGTTAAACCCAAGCGTTTATTTAACCGGCGCCAAACCCATCACACTCACTTACCCACTCGTGTCTTATATATCCTAACAATACATTGGTTGTCCAGGTTGCCGCGACGTTTATGGCAACTGCCACGACGCAGGGACGTTTTTTCACTACAGGATGGGTCGAACCCTCTACCGCTTCTGTTCCTGCAAAGTCAGGGGAGGTAATATCCAGTACGACTGTTTACCTTGACCCGCTATGTTGTACTGTTCTATACACTGTTGTTGTTATTAAATATTTATTCGTTATCATGCTTGTTGTTTTATCATTATATGTAAACTAAGATGGCAACGAAGACAACATTGGGTAGTGACTGGTCACAAAATAATTGGACCCGTTTTCACATATACTCATGGAATGAAATAAAGGAACAGCTATCTGGACTGTCAGGAAGGGTAAGGGCCATTTTGGGCTGGCAGGATCTGAAACTTTTTAGTGAGCATTGTACCTATATAACGTTATCGGATATGTACATGTGAGTGAAATCGTGACTTCATTTCAAAAAGAGCGTGTTTGGTAGTTTTCGAAAGGGCTGGTTTGTAAGTTTCTACTCAATGTTTTCGAATACTTTAACTTGACCAAGTATTTAACCCAAACGGTTTTCATAGATCGTTTCATAATCAGTGAAAACACTTAAATATCACGTGGAGCGTGGATTTGCTCACATTTATGTTTTTCATTTGAAGTTCGAAATTAGGACTTTTTCAAGCCTGTTTACAATATTCACTTCATCAACTCAGAAGTCCAAAAGTCCAAAAGAAGCCAAAATAGACGTCAGCCATTTTACCTGTCAAATCATTTTCGAACCAAAATTTCAAAGATTTCGGAAAATATAAATTTGACATTTTTCCAGTCGGCCAATACTAAATTAAATTCTCCCTTCGTAAGTATGTGTATCTCCAAAATAACCAGGAACTGTTTTACAGCCTATGTACACAGACAACAAATATTTCTCTCAAATGTTTGACATTGTGAATTGACGACAGATTTATATATTTCTATATATGTGCCTTACCTTATATATTTTAGTCCTATAAATGCATATGCAGTTGAGTTATTGATATTACACTGTTTTGGTTAGAGTGTTATCAATCTTCCAGCCTTATCGCAACAGGGGGATCGAAGAACGAGGAAGTTGTATCAATGTGCTGAACAGAGCTATTATTCCCGGTGCTAAAAGATCAAGCTTTATCCACTAGGATCTGGAAACACTTCCCTTTTCTTAAGTATCACAAATTAAATTCAAATACAGTTATGAACAAAGTAAGAATGTAATCACAACACCATGCGCGTCACGACAATTGTCCTCCTTACAACTGGATATATTTTACGATGCACATTTGACTAGCCTTGTATGTGTTTATGACCAAAGTGCCACCGACGGTGCAGGATACGATGACCTTTTCACAAACGCCTGGTATCCTCACTGTTGGATAGTGATCCATAAGCACATACTAATAGTGGAAATCCTACAATCGATTATGCTTTTGTCAGACTTCCTGTGAAAAGGGATTTGTCGATTTGTTTTAGATAATGAGAAAAATCAAATTAACATTTGTTTACGTTTAATCATTAAAATAACCATACTCTCTTTTCGTTTGTTATTTCAAACATGGATTTTGGAAAAGAACACAGAACTATGAGAAATATGCAGTTTGCTTTTGTATTGATGTACGATGTAATAATGACAACACAAAAAACATGCCAAATACAATGTATACACATCAATTATGTTACAGAGTACAACGTCTGATACTTGTCAACACCTAGAATGTGGATTGTAGGTCAAATAACATGTTTTTACAGTTAATTGTAAATGATTAGAGTAGAAAATAAAATACATGGATAGATTTACAACTTGAAATGCAAACAAATCCGGACAAAGTATAAGCAGAGTCAACGATTATTTCAGACATACCCTCTGATACATCACTTACGGTATGATCCAAGAAGATGGATCAATTTCCGCAGAAAACTATGATTGTTTTTTTCAAGTAACATATATATAACGAAATAGAAATAACTTTACAAAATGTCATCATACATGTATTTCACTTTTGTGGAATTTGGAGTTGAGAGGTCTATGTCATAAAAAGCAAAGGTTCAAAAGAGAACCTTGTCTGAACAGAAAATCTCCATATGCAGCACACTACAAACAGCTAACCAAAAAACTACATGTAAAACAACAAAGTGATATCGCACAATGACACTAGAAATTTTGAAGGCTAATGTCACCTTTATTCTGGCTCAACACACTGAAAAACAGCGATGTAATCAGTTACTATTTGAAATAGGCTTATCCTGTTGATGTGGGCGTCCTTTTCCGCTTCTTTTAATTTTTATCTCTCAGGGGAACATGAGCATGTAACATATGTGGCTGTTTGGAGTAGTGTTGCTGTTTTTGTTTTTTACGCCGCACTCAGCAATATTCCAGCTATATGGCGGCGGTCCGTAAATTATCGAGTCTGGACAAGACAATCCAGTGATCAACATCGTGCGCATCGATCTACACAAGTGGAATATATTGGGATATGATAACACGTTTCACCCAAGTTAATGAGCCTGACCAACAAGCATCTTACAACAAGCATGGGATTTTGAAGACCAATCCTAACCCGGATCTTCATATAGCGACTGTATTCCTCGCTACTTAAAGTAATAATTGACTTATAAAACAAATTAAATAGATACATTGACTGTAAGCACAACTGCAACCACGTAATCACACAATGCATATGATTATGTACATTTCTTTAAAAGCGGAAAGCAGGTACCTAGTACCTACTACCAAAAAACAGATGAAAGTCCGTAATTGTTGATAGTGTCAGCATACTCACTCACTTACATACTATATTCACATACGATTGCATACCACTTAACGGGGATACTCATATTACGAACAATCCATGACAGAATACGTTGCCAATGTATGAATCCTGACACGTATGTATGTGTATTATAATGCTATACCTCTTGGCAGGGGCGGTGGGGTATCCTAGTGGTTAAAACGCCGAAGCTGAAAATGATGACACCTCTTGGTTCCTTTATGAAGGAACTTCATACTAACTTCACATGGCATATCGACCTGGACGTGCATCCCAACAGAATACCTCCACTGGTCTTCATTAGAAATATGTTGGTCAAAGTTAAAATAATTCAACTATTCACTTGCGCGCCAGCCTTCAGTAAATACACATTTTATGTGCGCATCAACTAATATTTACCCCAATTCCGGAGTATTTGGTTTGGTTGTTGTTTAACGCCGCACTCAGCAATATTCCAGCTATATGTCGGCGAGCTGTAAATAATCGAGTCGGACCAGACATTCCAGTGATCAACAGCGTGAGCATCGGTCTACACAATTGGAATATAATGACATGTGTTGACCAAGTCAGCGAGCCTGACTACCCGATCCCGTTAGTCGCCTGTTACCACAAGTATGGGTTGCTGAAGAACAGTTCTAACCCTGATCTTCCCGGGTCCAAATCCGAAGTCTCTCGTACATTTGAATAACAATGTATTTTTACTGTGATGTTGATACAGATCGGGTAAAGTCTTATTATCTGAAAACTTAAGAGTTAACTTTCACAGGATAAACAGGAGCAGTTCACTAAATTATTAAATATTTTAACAATTGTAAAAGCAAATGCTACATCCTGAGAAGCTGAAGGTGCGTTTGAAAATCTTATTATCACTATATATACTTGTCAAGGCTTTGAATAAGGCGGTTGTCACAAGTTTACTAATCTTTTGCAAAGTCATATAGTTAGTTCATAAGTTCATTTGAAAGTTTGACACAGTTAGAGCAGCTATGCGATATGTCCAGCGAATATCCGCGCAAAATATCTAGCCAAAACCTGCTTTTATATCAAACAATGGCGGCGAAACATTTGTTTATCACTGATGTTAAGATACTATTTATATATAGGTTGCATATTACCTTGACACTAAAGTCTCTCGTAATTCCATAAGTGGGTGAGTGCGCCGCTTTTAGCAATATTCCAGCAATATCACCGTGCGTGTGGGGGGTGGGGGGTGGCACCAGAAATGGGCTTCACACATTGTACCCATGTGGGGAATCGAACCCGGGTCTTCGGCGTGACGAGCCAACGCTTCAACCACTAGGCTACCCAACCGCCCCCTCTCATGATGAAGTAACAATAGCAGTTTTGCCGTGGGGGCATATGGATGATAAAGACAGAATTTTGTAATTACACAGTTTTAATGAAACAAGAAAGGTGGGACAATCAACCGTCACACATTTGGTTAAAGGGAACGTGGAACACTTTGTCATTGTGCTTCGTGGGTGACGTCATCTTCAAAAGTTTACCTTCAAAATAATTTACATAAACCGAATATAATAAAATTAACAAAATCATAATCTACAAATTTCTTCTTCCATCACCGATGCATATACCTAGTCAGTCAGCTGATATGTGTAGGAGGAAGGGGGGAAAAGCTACAAAATAATGACACATATATGGATACACAATAACACAATTCAGTTTAACATAGTAAGAACTTCCTCATCATTCAGCCTGGAAACAACACAATATGTAGTTGAGTGACACTGGTTTAACGCCAAGGTGTTCAATATTCCAACTGCAGTTATAGTTACGATTATATCTAACTCAAAAGGACCACCAATTTAGTTCGTTTTAAACGAAATTTGATATACGCATTTCGACTAAACTATACAGCAAGAGGTCCAAGACCCGAAACTTCGATACATCCGTCAGTTCGTTATAAGAATGTTCGTTACAAACTTTGTTTACTCTAGATTAGAGCAGCATATTAATGATAACACAATCAAAGTCAGACGCTGGGTTGTGAGGGCATACACTCAACAACGTTAGAGGAACTGACCACTCGATCCCCATAGTACTGTGCCGTTACAATCAGTTACTGGGTAAACTTGCTCGAATCTCCTGAGGTAACGATTTAGATTATTAGAACAAATAGTTTCCTACTTTTATAACGAACACTCTAATGGCTGGAACTGGTGGATATAACGATTTTGTTGTCATGGCCACTTGATGTAGATTTTATTTGAAATGTGAAGAACTACGGTTACAACGAAACAAACATAGACGTGCCTTTGAGTTCGGTATAACCGTATTTCACCTCATTTGATTGACTGTAAGAAGCCGTATTACAACTACACCACAACAGGGGATAACAACAGTTATTTCAAACGTATCGGTATACACAAAGAGAAGCAAACACAGGTTTCGGTGCAGCAAGCGAATGCTTTAACCTCTAGGCTAGACCTTATGCAAGGACGCTTTAAGGACAATTATTTACATCTCATTTACAACAGAATCATATGTAATGAAATTTGTAGTTTTAAAAATAAAACGTCAGTGAAAAGGAACACCCAGTCTTGTCTATCCTCAGAAACAAATTCCGTTTGCTGTAAAGAGAAAAATAGCTGTGAAAAATATATGAATTGATCACTGACACTCAGTGATGACACCAGGTGTTCGCGAAAAGAGTAAGCATGTTCCCCCCTGCCAATAGCACTGCTATTCACAAAATCTGCCTAAATATTAAGGCATTTATTGCTGACGCTGAACAGCACTGCTCCTGACATGCGACGGCTGCCTGTAAACAAACCAGACAATCAAGTGATCGATGAAAATCTGGAAAGTGCAGACTAAACTATTCTTTGAGATATGACGTTCCTAAATGTTACATCAAAGATGGCACGGGGTATGTCTTCACCTTCCTATTATAATAATAGCCGATGTGTCTTTAAATCTTAACTCATTCACTCACTCCTATTATAATGAATGGTCATGAACCATTGGTCAACAAATTCAGATACCTCCATTTTGAAATATACCTCACCACGTCTATATTCACCAATGGCACCCATGTGCCTCAACATTGAATCTCGCCCCACCGACACCAGCTGTGATGGTTCTAAAACTCGTCCTCCATTACCAAGGCTAATATATCTCCATTCCCTGGACCAATTCGTCACCGTAAATTCATTTTGGATGTAACGCCAGCATCTCCGTGTCTCTTATCACTAACTTTGAATAATACTTCCCAATACATGTGTGTATTTGAAAGGACGAAACTGGGATGCCGATCTGATCAGGGTATTAATATTTGAGAAATTACACACGATAAGGGAAGACATGGAAAAAGAAACTCAGTGGCAACAACTTCTTGTGTCCATAACTCCTCATTAAAAGTATAAACATGGCCTAGTGTCTTGTTGAAATTCGATAGGTTAACACACACACACCCACAAACACACACACACCTGTTGAAAGATCTGAGGAGGTTGTGTTAGACACAAACCAAAGATATGTGAGTCTTTATGCAAATCGAACATCAGGCTTCATCTATTTACCGTTCAAATCGAAAATTTCTACCTACTTATTTCTACCTGCTCCCTTTGAACATCCTTGTGAATTTAGTTTGCATGGCGCTCAGAAACGACAGTGTTCATTAAATACCCATCATTATTTAATAGCGCGGCTGAATGATTATGCCTTCGAAACGTCTTGTCTTTTGGGATACAGAAATCAGACAATGCTTGAAATTCACAATGAATAGACCAACTTTAGAATAGCAGAGACACTCAGAGAAATACAGATCTCTGGGTGTCTGTCTCACGCAAATGAAGGAATATACACTAAACGCCAAAAGAAACGTTACCCTCCTGCCTTTATGAATTACTTGAAACTATCAAAGATACGTTAGAAGGTATTAGTTTACAAAAAAGCTTAACACAGCTTTATGCAAATCACGAAAAAAAATTCTAAAATGCATTCATATTTAAGTGAAATGCATCTTTTTCAGAAGAGTTAAATTGTCCTATTTTCGTCCATGCCGAAATAAGCCATTAACAATGATTTTGATGCCCAAAAGAGAGGTTGAAATAAAATTCTTCTTTGGGACAATGGTAAACCATTTAAAGTCACCATGTTTCAACTATTAAAGCATGAAACAATTGTTGTAGAGTGTGTAAAATTGTAAAATAATCATTCCTATGATTTCAGTCTTTTAAAACATTTTCTGCCGATTTGCATTAGTGAAAACAAGTAAAACGTGTCTTTGATATTGTGAAAATATGTTTAGGAACATCTAAAATTATCTTTGTTAACATTTCTGCTTGCAAAGTAACATCTTTCCATTTTCTGTTTACACATAGCAATATCTATCGCCAAAATGCAGCAGTATTCAAGCAGTATTTGCATCCATTTCACATGTGGAATGATTCTATAAGGTATGAAGAGAGCCTAGAATACACAAACACGAGAAATATGCCACGATTAACAGCTGAAGAGGGAGAAAAAGCCATTGGAATGGTGCAGATGGGGTCGACATACAATGCTGTTGCCAACGCCCTCGGATGCCCCCGAATCACGGTTATAAAGCTTAAGACTTATTCAGGGCTTCAGAGAGACTGGGGTCATCGTAGACAGACCAAGAAGTGGACGTCCACGCATCACAACGCCAACTGAAGATAGGTACCTCCGTCATTAAGGAAGGAGGGTAACGTTTCTTTTGGCGTTTAGTGTACATGTCTGTTTTATTGCTTGTATATGCCACTGAGTCTATTGCTCTACCATTCACCATGTCTTTCACAAAAACGCATCCGTTGAAGGGTGAAATAACTCACACCGACACCTGTTGACGTAAATAAAGCAACACAGTAATATTCTGTGCGATATATGTGTATGGAGATACGTTCTCTAAAATATCAACGATTGTAAATGCAAGGTTTCCATGATTAGAACGTTGACTATATAGTGAAAAATGGTAAGTATGGACCCTGACAATTTGTTAACCGGGCTACATGTCTTCCGAACGTGTGTATATGATTTAAAGGACGTTACAACTGTTTGGAAAGAGTCAATTTCTAAATACTCCTGAGAATTAATGCAATAGTTATATTTTCTTCTCAATGTTTCGTCTCTTTCTTTGCTTCGTCTGTTTCTTTGTCTCTTCATAGTGCAGTAATCAAAGTAGTAACTAACTGATTTGATATTTCTGGTGAATATTTAGTGACTGACACAAATCTAAAATACTTAAACAAAAACAAATCAAACATGATCGAATCAAAGAGAATAAAAACATCATAAGTGATATAAACAACAGTCATTCATTTCATTCCGATACAAAAATAGAATATACGTCATCTGAAAAGGAAGAATTACATAATCAACACATAATTTGCCCTATTTTAAAACACCGCCTTCAAGAAAAATATGAAACAGTTAACATATTTTAACACAAATTCAAAATATGTTGCAAATGCAAGTTTTCTCAAAATGAAAATGTTCTCATTTGGTCGATTCACGACACAACTTTCATGTACAAACAAATCATGTAACGATTATTTTTATAATGAAAGAGAATAAATATTTCTAGTGAGTGCCCTTAAGGATCTTGTACATTAGCTGTCGACGTCGTCATCGCCTACATCCGTTCCCATACGACCTCGTAATACTGGGTGTGAATGGTAAATATCAACATTCACCAAATAAAACAAAACAAAAAACATTCACCATCTGTTATAGTGTTACGGAAGCGGAATTTAACAAAATTCCAGTATAAAAAGTCCGGATATATGGAGATATTGGAATAACGAGGTCCAGGTCTGTTTGGGGAAATCCCATTATAACGAAGTCGGGATATCTTATCACAATGTCACAATATAGAGGGAAGTCACTTCCGAGCAGGAGAATGTAATGTCCCTTTAGAGAAGTCGGAACACAGAAAATGGTGCTGAATGTCTTGAGTGAGGGAATATGTTTTTTAGCAAAATTCCAGCAATAGTGAGTGAGTGAGTTTAGTTTTACGCCGCTTTTAGCAATATTCCAGCAATATCACGGCGGGGGACACCAGAAATGGGCTTCACACATTGTACCCATGTGGGAAATCGAACCCGGGTCTTCGGTGTGACGAGCGGACGAGACTACCGCCACGGCCCCTATTCCAGCAATACCACGACGGGGAACACCAGAATGGGATTAAAAACTGAAGCCCAGAATCGAAACCGGGTGTAAGTGAAAACTATGTTTTTTTAAGATCCGAAGTGAGTGAGTTTAGTTTTACGTTGCTCTTAGCAATATTCTAGCAACATCACGACAGTTAGATTCGAGGGTGTGTGAATGAGTGAGTTTAGTTTTACGCCGCACTCAGCAATATTCCAGCTATATGGCGGCCGTCTGTAAATAATCGAGTCTGGACCAGATAATCCAGTGATCAACAGCATGAGCATCGATCTGCGCAATTGGGAACCGATGACATGTGTCAACCAAGTCAGCGAGCCTGACCACCTGATCCCGTTAGTTGCCTCTTACGACAGGCATAGGTTACTAAAGATCAATATTCTAACCCGGACCTTCACAGGTGGTTAGATTCGAAGATGACCGTTAACTTTGATAAGATCATGCGTAATGTCGTTAGATATTCGAAGGCACATGCGAGTTACTTTGTGATAGTGTCTCTTAAAAGGACTCCACTCCAAGTGTAAAAAACGGAAATCGTCAAGTTTGTTCAAATTAAGAAATTAGGAAACATGATGCTAACAGATATGGCACGTGCGGAGGATAAAACCTCAACGTCATAAAAGGGACTCTTTATGCCAATACTTTCAGTGAGGATCGACTTACGTAAATGGTATGCATAGGTACAACTTGGCACATATGCCTAGATGCTTGTCGAATAACACAGCCGTTTGATAGATATGTTGTGTACACTGATTATTTTGTATAAATTCGAATGTATTTGATCATGCAAATATTGAAAGACTATATTCCCACCGATTCAACATCAAATCCGTTCCTGTGACAAAACATACTATTAAGACAAAAAGAAATATAACGCATGGATCCTTGCGATAACCACCCACAAACCTGCTTCCCGAGTTCCTACACTATTATGAAAATGATAAAACATTTTGCTATTTTTAACCTGCATTTCGAACTAAAATCTTCCAAAACATACTATTAAGACTACAAGAACTATAACAAATGAACCTTGTAATAACCACCCACAAACCTGCTTCCTGACACCCTACTCTATTATGAAAACAGCTCAGTAGAACATTTTGTCATTTTTAACCTACATTTCGAACTAACTTTCGAACCAGATATTAAACGTTAGAATGTTGTCAATATCAAACCAGAAAACCAAACAGCCCTAAACCAGAAAACCAAATATGATGTTGCACTTACTGAGCACTGTCCATACGTCCATTATCTATCGTATGGCTGGTAGAAGAACATTGAAGAGTGGTATTATCACCCCTCCTACCACATACCTTGACCAACCTGACATCAATTATTATTTGAAAATCCATCCGTTTCTTCCATTACTAGCTCGATAAGAATTATTCTTTTATTGTGAATAGAATACAATTGGCAATAACGCCTTTTGACTAACTTAAGGAAAGTTATCAATTGAAATTAATTTGTAAAAGTATGTTACAGTCTAAATAGAAAAGTTGAAGTACCCGAGGTAAAACACAAACACAGGTTAGAATATTATAATGAGTTATAAATTAGTTATTAAATGAGTTAAATTGAGATTTTACCGCTTTGTACTATCGTTTCTACCATACATATTTCCTTTTACATGCATATTATCCCAGTTCGTGAGCATGTTTGTAGAATCAGTCAGTCTGTAAAATAACTCATGTCGTTATTAAGTTTGGAACTTGGTAAAACTAAGAAAAATGACAATCCAAAGGCTCTGCATAACATTCTTTAAGAGGATACCGTCAATTCGAACACTTTCTTAATTTTCCTTACCTGGACTCAAACTTTAATGTATGTGAAATCAAAGAACACACACAACACAATGAACAAACATCAAGAAAATGAATTTACCAATACAATAAAGTTCCTCTGTTTACTCCTGAGACATATTGTTTCGTGCTAACAGGCCACAACAACATATGTTCTTTTATTTGGAGACTCAAATGATACTACCTGATTTACAAAACAATAGCGCCAATGTTATTACGTGGGACAGAAAGGGAAGAGAACTGGGGTTTAGAACTTCAGCAACAATATGGGTGTTGCACGATGTTGATGCATTATCCTTTATCAAATAACACACTTCACACAGGGCGCCCCTTTCGAAGATATTACCTTCACATAAACAACTTGATACGAATATTGTCTTCGTAACATGGATCGAATCATGCACTAATATTGCTTACTCTAATAGTAACATTTTATACAAGATAATTTTAAAAATACCATTACAAAATTATATTGAATTATATACCTTTCATTGTGTAATATTTGATTATATATATTTAATTGTGTAATGATTAAAGATATATAATCAATATTATTAAAATAATATTGAAATATTTTATTAAATATTTGTGTAAAGAAAAATGGCATGAAAGGGTATTACTACGTTGTGGTTTATATGCGACCATGTTTCTATCATGTGTTTTAAATGAAGGTACTGTTTTCTACGATGAAGTTGACCAAATCACCAATAGACCAATATATATGATTATATAAAGATCCATTGCCAAATTCCCATATACATCCCAATACCAAACAATACTATTCAAGAAGATCCGCATCCACATCATCCAAGGTACCATCCAGGATGCTGCTGGAACTATGTCCAAATCAAACCAGAAGCTTTCAACTAAAACTAGCCATTGCCAAGCCTTCGTGATGTTTCTTGTTCATATTCATCAGTTGAACATGAACGAATTTTTAATCAGCTGTTCATTTGAACGAGTAGTGTATGACATAAAGAAACACTATAACTTACAGTGGCATTCTGTATTATGAGTAACAAAGGCTTATTTGATACAGTTCTTTATCGCACGATGGCTCCATCTCTGAGTATAATACGACGAATCCGGAGAACAATAAGTTTCTGTTACCAACCGAAACAGATCCCACTTGGTCTAAAAGGCAAAAGTGTATTGAGTGAGTGAGTTAAGTTTTACACAGCACTCAGGAATAATCGAGTCTGGACCAGACAATCCAGTGATCAACAGCATGCGCATCGATCTAGGCAATTGGGATACGAAGACATGTGTCAACCAAGTCAGCGAGCCTGACCACCCGATCCCGTCAGTCGCCTCTTACGGGTGACTGAAGATCAATTCTAACCCGGATCTTCACGGGTCAAAACGTGTGTTGAAAACAATATGAATTGATTTTTGAAAATTACTGACACCATGTGTTCGCGAAAGGGGAACCCAAAACTGCATAAAGGTAAGCCTCTTTTGCCATCGACACACAACGCCATACGACGGCAGCCTATAACCTGCAGCCTTGACAAGACAATCCTTCAAACACCTGCAGATCATGTATGTATATACTTATGGAAATAAACCCGTCTTATCAGATATCATTTGAAATAACTATTCGGACAAAATGCAGTACATGTACATCAGCCATATGGCAATCATGTTATACATGTAGTCATCGTTTGACAAATAATTGTAACATTATAACTATACCATGGATACCAAGATGAAGTCAAGGCAGCTGACCATTTGATAATCTGGAATGAAATGACTGGAAAATAATTTGTCCCCAGGCCTAAAAGTCTTTCCTGCTGCATGCCCTCCCAGTCCCTGACAAGTAAATGGTCAGTCCCTCTGACGGCTGAACTCAGGAAGCCTCTGTTGTTCCTTCTGGTGGCCCTCTTCTGTTGTTGTCGAGACCCTGGACAGCCCATTAAAACTGCCCTGCTATCTGGTATCTGATGTAGTTGAAGAATTGGTAGTTGCAGTTGCAGGATAAAGTAACTCGCGACTGGGCTCCCATGACCGGGATTTGCCCTCTTCTCATCGCCCCCTTTATCCTTGTCTTCGTTCTGCTTCTGGTCTCTTGAACCTTTTAGAATCCAAGTCGACTTCATTTGGAACATTCTTCTTTGTCTGTTTATAAAATTGGTGAAAATTGATTCATACCGTTATCCCTGAGAATGGCATTCTGTTCAGCACTCACGCTGAAAACATATATTTTAAGATTACAAATCTTTACAGTGCTATGCAGTTTTTTCATCATTACACTAGTAAGATACGTATGAATGGTTTCTTCAGAAAACAAATTTCGTGTAATACAGTTCCTACAGCATTACACGTGTAAAATATATATCTATCTCCTGTTTCATAAATACCGGTATTATTACTTAAACTGCGCACAAAATTCGAAGTTAAGACACCTACTTTAGAATAAAGACATTCATGTGAAAAACGTGAAACATAGCGGAAGGTATCTACGTTCATGGTTGGACTTGAATGTAAAGATTTGAACATAATTATTTGCTGGAGACGCCATCAACGTCGTTGTTGATGTAAACCCTTGAGGATATTTTGGAGTTGTTCCACATCTGTGGCACAACGAGGCAGCTCACATCCAGTACTGAAATGATGCTCAAGATACTTGATCAAAAGATTTCGTTCTTTTTTCAATTCTTCTTTTTGTTTTTCCAGTTCCTCATTCTGTATCAGCTGATCACTGTGTCTCTGTTGAAGCAATAGATTCAAAGTAAATTGATAAGTAAGTTTCTGATTACAGTTCGATTGTTCTTTTTATAATTACAATTACATATCTCTTTTGACTAAGTTCCTTAAACTTAGCATAGCTGAAGGTTCAAATCCATCAGCTCCAAGCTTCTATTAAACTACAATTTGGATGTCGATAAAAATTTGAAAATGCTACCTCAATAACCGAGAAAAACTATTAATAGTATTTATTCTTCGTCTATCTGCACATCTTTTTCCTTTGTTAGCTTAGATTCATGGAGAAAGGTAATTCTTTATTCACATCGCAGAAAATATTTGTTTGTTCTTCTTGTTTCACGTCGGAATGAGCAATATTACAGCTACAAGACGGCTGCATATAAACTCTGAACTAGACAATGCAGTGATTGACCTTATGCGCAACGAGCTACGGCGTTGGATACGTTGCATGCAGTCACGAAAAGTCACCGAGTCCTGTTCACCCAATGAATTAAAACGTCTAATCTGGCAATGAACTACACTAATTCAAAATCACCACTCGGTGCACTGACAAAGAACTAAGTTGTACAGTGCCGATATCTACCTGTATGATCTCGCTCTCTTGAGTTGTTTGTTTCAGTCTTGATCGCAGAGCGGCCCTTCTGTTCTGTTCCTTCTTTCTCTCTCGCTTTTTCAGTTCATCTAATGTCATCTAATAAAGTTGTAACAAAAGAATTCCTAGTGAGATCAAGTAAGGAGGTGGTAGGACTTTAGGCTTGTTACATACACTATAGAAGCCTACAACTACAATTATCATATGAAGCTTTCTGTTTTCTGTGAAAAATCTTCACAGATGAAATTTGTGCTGGCATTTCAATATTGTGGACGTATCGTATTCTTGACTGTGAAGCTGCAAATGTGATGCCATCATATTGATGGTTTGGCGAGCAGTGCTATCTCCTGGGAAAATCATTTTGTCCTATTCGTGGTTCATAAAAAGATGATAATGCTTGCTGGAAGTTTCAAAACATCAACAAGTAACTGCTTTGAGTGAGTGAGTGAGTGAGTGAGTGAGTTTAGTTTTACGCCGCACTCAGCAATATTCCAGCTATATGGCGCGGTCTGGAAATAATCGAGTCTGGACCAGACAATCCAGTCATCAACAGCATGAGCATCGATCTACGCAATTAGGAAACGATGACATGTGTTAACCAAGCCAGTGAGCCTGACCACCCGATCCCGTTAGTCGACTCTTACGACAAACATGGGTTCCTGAAGGTTCATTCAAACCCGGACGTTCACGGGTCAACTGTTTTGAGAATGCATGAAAATTCTATTCAAGAATACCATTGGAGAGACATTTTACAATCTATAAAATGGAGTCTTGATGTCCACCAATCCTATTCGGTTAGGTGATAGCGCATTACCTTGGCCATATTTTGTTGGTCCTAATGTAGATCTAGAGCCTGGACAGTATAGATGAGATTGAGTATTGAAATACGGATTTTCCTTTTTCTCCTCTGAAATAGTGTCTGAAAACGTATGTTGTCCAACAGCATAATTAATGTAACGAAACTATCCGAAAAGTAGCCCCAACTTTTTTGTCCTAATGCAACATGGTTGCAATGATGTGTTATGCGTTGATGCACACACAGCAGATAACTGAAAGACAATCGTCTTTGCATGAGGGTAGATGAAATGAATGTCCTATCCAAAATCGAAACTCAGAAAGATCATTATTAATACACAAGAGTTGACAGATCCCCACACAGAAAATATATTGTGTAATAGCGAAATGCTTAGTAGCGGACATTCTAAATATTCCATAAAATACTGGAATCGTTTCAGCATGGTTCATTGTCACTAGGGAGAGATTAAGGAGATAACCCTTTCTTTGAAAGCCTTTGTCAAATCAACACCAGAAATGATCCAGAGTTCATGAAATGTTGATGTCTGACAAGTAAATGACAGAACGTCACATTACTAGTTACAATACTGCAAAAGCGTTATCAATGAATACAGTATTAGCTCTTTTGAATCCAAACCTTCTAACATCTGATAAACCGATCACATGCCTCGTGATAATCTGGTTTTGTTTGAAGCTGATACAGAAAGGTTCTTGCAACAATTTGTAATTTTGGATGAAATATGTATTCCCCTTTTCCAGTCTGAGTCAATACAACAATCGGTATACGTATGTCATGGAGTAAACCATTTCCATGAGTTTCTGTAAAACTTCATATATTCAAAGAACATAATTGTTTCAATATATATCCAAAGTGCACCGAAATTCTATCCCCTTTGTCTCTTTTATGTATTCAGCAATCATTCGGTGTAGCCCTCTTATTATAAATCCCCCTCCGGGCAGGACTCTTAATTCTTCATGCTATCCGTAAATCCCAATTAACACCTTCCTACGTCGGCATATCTTACGTATGTACATGTGCATAGGTCAGTGACCTTGCATAACGTGGCGTAATGTCCCTATGTATAAAACCTGACTGACATGGTCACTCAGGGAGACCAAGCAGGAAGACCAGTCAGAAAGTCGAGACAAGACGAGAGGAGACGGGCCCAGATCATCGACCGAAGCGGACGGATTGTGCGGCTAGTCGAGGCGTCGGCCAAGGCCGTTGCCTCACCAACGACTACGTCGACGATGAAGAATCGCCGTCCGACTTCTGAATGTGTGTAAGTGACAGAGCGGGTCTCCACATCGGGAACATGGCCACTCGGTCCCGATGTGCGTTCTGTCACGTGATTTCCATCTTAATTACCATTTCTACCATTATTCCCCAACCATAATAAACATGACTGCTGCTGTCTTCAATTCTACCACTGACTTTTGTCGTCCGTCTCCTGTCCACCATCCTGAACTACCAACCGAGAGCATCCCCGACGAACGCTCTTGGACACGTACATTACCACGTTTCCAAAGGTAATACACTCCTCCTAATTTTACTGTACATTCTCTGTACCCATGTACCATACGTACGTGATAAACAGACTGGGGCCATGAGCATCCCTATGGTAACCACAGTGTACAGGGCCGGATACAGCTTTTTTGAGAAAGGGGGGGTGCACAGTATTGAGAAAGGAGGGGTGCAAACTTCATTTTCACGAGAGTTTCAATGGTTATTCAATAAACTTTCAGGACAAAAGGGGGGTGCGCACCCCTGCGCGCACACGCACGCACGCACGCACGCACGCACGCACACACACACACACACACACACTGGATCCGCCTATGGTGTACCTTGTGGGACCAGTACATTTACATGCCAGTGTCAAGCCATGTTAACATTTTTAGGCCGTTTGCTTTTATTAAAAGGTTGGCTCTACTTGAGATTACCTCCTTTCATTACCGTGTGATTCATGTCAGGACGAGTTTGTACACTGTAGTAGATGATAAATATATATGAAGCATATTTTCATTGTCTCGCTTTTTCCTTGCTAACTCTTCCTCTCCTCTTTCACATCTATGTGTGTACGTCTTTGAGTTTATCTCCTTTACGTGTTCGATATATACACTGAATCACAGTTTGACTTGCAACAATTAACACATCAACATTTGTCAAAGCTAGCAGCTTACTGAGTGGGAATCACATGAACGTTCTTGAGATCTATAGCAATAGTTGTTGAAAAACATTCCAGTTCTATACTTACCTGTTTTCACGAGCAAATGTAAGCTTACGTGGTTAGACACTGTTGTCCTGTTGGAGGTCTTGGAAGATATAAGATACAAGATTGTAAGAGCGCTACAACGAGCACGAAACTGACCCAGAATTTGCCTTAACAGTGAGTTGCACTTGCCTCAGCAAGCCATATTGAGGATATCAAAATGAGTGAAAAAGATATTAACACCACGAATGGACCATTCATGATGAATTCAGTTTCCTATTTTCCATGGAAACAAATGTTCGTTGTGTGTCGTGCACACCTGTGTCATACTTCAAAGAGACATTGTTTATCCTTAGTGATACCCAGTAATATACTATACTATACTTTTTATACTAGGATATTCATATAGCCCACATATCCAGGCAACTAGTGCATGCTCAAGGCGCTGATATTTTCCTCTCGATCATTGGATGCCAATCTCAATGGCACATCGTATTATCAATATCAACTCCCTGGGGATCATACAACTCTTGCAGCCACTAGGCGCACCGAGTTATTGTGGCTTTCTCATCCTAACGAGGTACCCATTCACAGCTGGGTGGCTGGGACACATAGTCACAGTACTTTGTCCAAGTTCACTCAACGTTGCTGTACCCGCAACTAGGTGTTTGCACGTATTCATGTGGCCACCATCTGGTCAAATACCAACGGATTCGTGGGTTCTTTTAAGTGCACAGGGTTGTGTACTGTACACTAGGGGTTGTGACAACACTGAAAGAGTCTGCACACAAAGTTGACTCCAAGGTTTTTACACCAGGTCACAGATGGGCTCGATCCCAACACATCAACCTCGCTGGATCACTAGCCTGGCGCCTTAGCCAGCTCGCCCACCGCACCCATATATCCTCTGTCCATACACGTCTCTTTCGTCTGTCCAGTAAAAATATTACAGCTGTTTGAGCTACATCTTTATCGCTTCAGTTTATCTAGTCATCTGTTCCACGAATAGCCCAAGCAATACATTGATTTAAGGCACTGTCAAAACTAGATATGATAAACACATTAGCTATCGATGACTTACCTGTGAAACAAAGGAGAAAGTCATTTCAGATGAGGGAATGAAAAGCATACGGGAATGCAGGTGTATGTTATGGTGCATTTCATTCATATCACGCAGTTAACCTGAAATTCTTTTAATGTTTATATTATGATTAGGGTTCAGGTATCCGATGGAGTGGTATGATTCTAAAGCTATGCTTTTAGTGTTATTGTGTAGAGAGTGATGCTGTGACGTTAAGTGTAGTGACACATTCAAAGGAGGAGACGAGCGACTACATCAGCAAATGTGGAGAGAAGAGTTATGGAACAGTAAATCACCTGATAAGGTTTTCTAATATCGGGTTCTGTGTCTCCATCCCCGGATATAAGTCGTTTCAGTTGAATCCTGGTCCTCAGTTCTTCTTTAATCAACGGCAAAACTGATTGAGACTTTTCAGATTCAGCAGCGGCTTGCTTTACCTCTTGGTCTTCCTCGTACACGAAAACCTTCACGACCTCATCCGACGTTCTCCCAAATCCAGGAGATGCCTCTGTCTCCGATGAAGAGACGTCAAAAGTAAGAGGTATGTAACTGGGTCTTTTCTTGCCAAAGCTTGAGCTACTTGGGCCTGGCTCTTGGCGTTCTTCCTGTTCTTCTCCGTGTACAAAATCCTTAACAACCTCGTCTGAAGATCGCTCAAAAACAGGGGATTCCTCTGAGGAGGATGATGCGAGGTCCAATATTCGAGGAATATCACTGGGAATGTCCCTACTAAAGCTTGAGCTACTTGGGCCTGGATCTTCCTCCTGCTCTGGCTTTGACTCTTTGACTTCTCTGAAAACAGTTACATCTTGTAGACTTGTGCCGGGCTGGGGATCCGGGAGCTCACCATACAGGTCAGAAAGCTCATGAGGTATTGATATTGATGTGAGTTCTGTATCGAATTCCAAATCAGATATGTCAAATATATCTGAAGATTCCAAAGAAAAAATGGATGGAGAGTGACTAGTTGATAATGAGGTTGTTGTCTCCGCTGGTTTGGGGAGAAGTGGTCGATGTTTTTTAACTTTATGCACAGATTTAGACCCAGAAGCTACTTTTTGCACCTTCTTTGGAGATCTTGATCGTCGACGACGCCTAGGAACGTCATCAGATAAAATCTTGTCAAACTCAGGTAGACTGGGCAAGGTTGGAATTGATTTTGTATTTTCACCGTCGATGTCATCATCTCCTTCCCACATACGTGTAGTCTGGACGGGCAGTATCAGGTGAATAATCCCTGCGTCAAAAGCAGGTTGCTCGATTTCTATCATCAGAAAATTCAAGGAGACACTGAGGAGGGGTGCTTCCATCTCTCACCCTCCGCTGAAAGGAATGATAAGTATAATCAACAAAGTGTGTGATTAAGTTGTGTTCAATACCGCTTTGAAATGTATTCCAAAACATATAATGGCGAGTTTCAAGTCTGAGAAAAGGAGATCTCCGACGTTTATAACTTTACTGAAACGCACGACTACATTTATGGTAGTGAGTGAATGAGTTTATTTTTGCGCCGCTATTAGCATTATTTCAGCAATATAACAGCAGGGGACACCAGAAAATGGGCTTTGCACATTGTACCAATGTAGCGAATCGAACCCCGCTCTTCGGCGTGACGAGCGAACGCTTTAACCACTCGGCGCAGGGACATTTAAATGGGGAAAAGTTTGTATTTATGAACAATATAATGACAACAAACAAAGTGTGAACAATAGTCAGTTAGAGCACAGGTCAAAGTATCGAACTAAAATCGAAACGACAAACTATCACAAAAATTCATTGTCCAAACAAATAACTCTCAGTAACGCGTATGGGATCCACGTGAAGCGATAGCCTGGAAGCGTCGTCTCATGCACCAAAAGTGCATTCTTACTAAAGGAGGATTGTTCCACTCTTCGATAAGACTGAGTTTGGTTTTACGCCGCTTTTAGCAATATTCCAGCAATATCACGGCGAGGGACACCAGAAATGGGCTTCACACAATGTACCCATGTGGGGATTCGAACCCGGGTCTTCGGCGTGACGTGCCAACGCTTTAGCTACTAGGCTACCTCACCGCCTCTTCGATAAGAGCATTACCAAGGTCCTGTAGAGTTTCCGGAAGAACAGATCATCTTAACCTCGTTTAAAATGTGTTCAATAAAGTTGGGGTCACTCAAGGTAGACATATGTCTTTTTTCCAAGTTGGTATCAACGACCTCCGCACGCTGAGGACGTACATTATCGGCCATGAGGATGACGTCCTATCCGATTGCAGCAACATGTGGGTTCTCGTGTACATCCAGAGCATCAAACTCTGCTCTTGCAGTCTTTTTGACACCACCTAACATTTTGTGTTGTGTTGGAATCCTGAATTTGGCCACCTCGTATCGATATCTCGCCATGTGGTGGAACACTTTAAGTCTTCTGGTATAAAGCGGCCGGTGATCGAACAGCTGACACGCGTCTCCCAATGCTGGTGCGCTATCCACAGGATCAGTGAGGTAGTTACGTGCTATGTGATGGCAAGAAGAACATGAATACATCTCGTTGTTCTCGACATCTTTTTCCGAAGAAATAACTTTGTGAACCTTGTCGTTTTGTTCCTAGTTTCTACAAATTCACTTGCTTAGAAACGCCTCATTGGTTTAATACTTCATTAAAATATACAAACATTGTAGCGAAGCAACATCTCACTAAATCACTAAAAACTGAAGGAAAGGTGCAGATAAATAATAACATAGTATACCTCGGGGTTCCTGAAAGTGTTTGGGCTGTGATACCTTGCGCGTGAGCTCGAGTCTAACATGCCGTCCTTCACAGGTTGCCCTGTCGGAACGGATCTTCAGACCTGAAAACATATTTCATACATGAACTACAAGAGAGTGTTTATACAGATACTTGTGAGTGAGAGAGAAAGTGATGATAATGATGATCATCATCATCATCATAGTGATGGTGTATATGATGATCATCGTACCATCATCATCATCATCATCATCATAATGATGGAGTATATAATGATCATCGTGCCATCATCATCGTAACATCATCATCATCATCATGGTGCATGGTGAATATGATGATCATATGATGATCATCATATGGTGATGATATAATCATGATCGATCATGTATGATCATCATCATCATCGTACCACCATCATCATCATCATCATCATCATCATCATCATCATCATCATGATGTAACCATCATAATCATCATCACCATGAGTATATGATCATCATCACCGCATCATCATCATCGTAACATCATCATCATCATGGTGATGGTGTATCATATCATCATGTACATCATCATCATCATCGTGCCATCATCATCATCATATCATCATCATCATAGTGATGGGTATATGATGGTGATAACATCAGTACCATGATCATCATCATCATCATCATCGTAACATCATCACCATAATGATGATGATCATCATCGTGTATATGATGATCATCATGCCATCATCATCGATCATCATAACATCATCACCATAATGATGATCATCAACCATAATGATATATGATGATGATCATCGTGCCATCATCATCGTAACATCATAATCATAGTGATGGTGTGTAACATATGATGATCATGATGATCATCATCGTGCCATCATCATCAACATCATCATCATCATCATCATGGTGATGATGATCATCGTGCCATCATCATCGTAACATCATCATCATCGATGATCATCGTGCCATCATCATCGTAACATCATCATCATCATCATCATCACCATCATCATGTAACATCATCATCATGGTGGTATATGATGGTGATGGATGATGGTATATGATGATCATCATCGTGCCATCATCATCGTACCATCATCACCTTGGTGATGGAGTATATGATGATCATCATCGTGCCATCATCATCGTAACATCATCACCATAATGATGGAGTATATGATGATCATCGTGCCATCATCATCGTAACATCATCACCATAATGATGGAGTATATGATGATCATCGTGCCATCATCATCGTAACATCATCATCATGGTGATGGAGTATATGATGATCATCGTGCCATCATCATCGTAACATCATCATCATGGTGATGCAGTATATGATGACCATCATCGTAACATCATTATCATCATTGACATGGACATTTCTGTCGCGTCATATCCACTCACGAAAGCATGTCCAGAGCGCTACATGAACACAATCACAGCAAGAGGATTAATCGCAATCAACCCTTCAGCCATTTTCTGAACCAACTGTCAACTGGACACAGCGGTAGAGTTGGTCCAAACCAGTTTCCCATAGTTAAACAATATCTGAACTAGCTGTCTGCTGAACACATTGGTGCAGCTGGTCTGAACTAGACTTACGCATAGTCTCTTAATATACATAATTTTGATAGAAACAAATACCTCCTCTTAAATTGAAAAGATGCCCCAGTAATATGAGAGATTCAGAACCTGAGGAAATCTAGTCTTAATTCATTAGTTTAGCATGCAGAAACGGCAGGGCGGAAGGGAAAATAATAAGGTTTAGGGAGTGTAAGACAGATTGGCCTGAACCAACTACCTAATGGACATAGCTACAGAGTTTATCCAAACCGGCTGTCCAGTGGACATACTGGGGAGAGTTGGTATGAACCAGCTGCCTACTAGTACTACTAATAATAATAATAATAATAATAATGCTAATTTTTGCGCCTAGAATCCAACGCAATGCTGTTCTCTGGCGTTACATTATTACCCTGACGGAATTGTATAGTATGACCAGAAATTATTGAGAATTTTGGGAATATGTTAAATTGGATTTCTAGTAAAAACAACCTTGACCAGCTATCAAGTGATTGGTTTCATTCAAGAGAGACAAATCCGTTAATCCTTTTTCATTAGTTTGTGAAGAGTTATCCCCCTTTGTGTACTTGCAAGCAGACGACATTTTCAGTGATCCTCAGTATGGATGATTTAGAGAAGAGGAAGTTGATGTTAGAGTATTATGATAAGTACATCAGATCAGCTAAACTGATTTCAAGTAGAACAGGCATCCCTTTGTCCACTGTTTATCGTGTTTTGAAAAATATTGCAAATGGATATGGCATTGAGCACCAGGGAGGCGCAGGTAGGCCCAGAAAATTGACTGGCGGCTTGGTATACTTGTTTCTAAAAACAAACGAAGGAGTTTAGAAAACTTAAGGCTGGATATGATTGATAGTCGAACTGTGGCTGTCTGTAAGGAGACAATTAGAACTGAGCTGCATGCAATGGGTTGGCAGAAAAGTCGAGGAATTCCATCACTTATCATGAAACCTGAACAAAAGGAGCGAAGGTTGAACTGGTGCTTACAGCATAGAAATTGTAACTGGGACAATGTGATTTTCTCAGTAGAAAGTTCTGTGTGGCTGTTTCCTAATACACTGAAATTCTGGACCAAACAAACTGAAAAACCTTTGTATCAGCGCCCAAAGTACAGTCCGAAATTTAACGCGTGGGGTGGCATATCTGTGTTAGGGGCAACGCCCCTCTGTGTATTTGAAGGGAATATGAACAGTGACCGGTACACAGATATTCTCGAGGGACATTTACTTCCATCTGCTCACGTGTTCTATGGAAGTTTTTGGATTTTACAGCAGGACAACGACCCAAAACTTCGTTCAAAGTATTCACAGGCCTGGTTTCGGACCCAAAATATGACATTATTAGATTGGCCAAGCTATAGCCCTGACCTAAATCCAATAGAAAATGTTTGGGGACTCATGAAGGAAAGTGTCAATAAGAAAAATCTGACAAATATTGCTGAAATGAAAGAAGAGGTGGTCCGATATTGGGAAAGCATGGACCACGACTATCTAACTTCTTTGATCAGTAGTTTGCCACGCCGCATTGAAGCCTGCATTGATGCCCATGGTGACTTGACAAAATACTGACTGTTCATCTGTCTTTGAATCTGGAGTTATGTTCTGCTAATATTCACATTTAATACGTGTTTTAAAATTACAATCTTTAAATTCTCAATAATTTCAGGTTGTACTGTAGATTCCCGAGAACATGAACAACTCAGTCAGCCACCAGGTTGTATTGAGAAGTCCACTTGTTTCATGACTCTTAAAATGTTAATGTGCGTCGCATTAAAAACATTTTCTTTCTTCGCACAGCTTGAGCTTATTTTAGATGCTTTAGTAAATCCGTTGTAAGCTGTGCATTTAAAACGTTAACGCCAGATAGCAATCAGTCTCAAAGGGCCTAAACAGATTCCAGAAGTTCAGAAGTTTATATCAAAAGGAATAACATCAGTTACGCCAGTAGGATTGTTTCTGACAAATCAATAAATGCATCATCAAGAATTAAAGGTCTTTAGCATAAATCTTTACATTTTCGGTATATTTACGGTGTGATAAAATACAATTTTATTGACATGATGTTCCAGAGCCGTGAGATCTGCATGGAAATGAGTGAAAAAAAATCAAAATTTACAATCTTTAAATTCTCAATAATTTCTGGTTGTACTGTACTTTCAAAGCTGCTACTAAGCGCTAAGCGCGAGCGTATAGGTCCGTACATCCGCTTTTCAGGTACCCATTTTAAACAGCTGGGTGGACTGAGTGCAATGTGGACGAAGTGCTTTGCCCAGGGACACAACACAGTATGAGACCCAGGTCAGAAATTTTGGTGTCTCCACCGGGATTCGAACCCGGGCCTTTGGCGTGAGGGGCCAGCATGCTAACCACTACACCACCGTGCTATACACTTTATACTTACCTCTAGCCACTGTGGGAGGATGGAGATATACGCAGAGATTTAAACGTTTTGTGACAGTGAACACAGTTGCTGTTTGTAATACCATAGTAACATACTCGAACACAAACTTTAACATTACATTGCTGTACCAATAATTCGAATATAACTGTTTTGTAAATGTTTTGCATCAAAGTATATTGCAAGAATCTCTTGAAAGTCAAATATCAGACCAAGACAAGAAAATCATAGAACATATGACCCATGCATAGATTTTGGACATATTTTGGTGTTAAACACGTTTGTTCAACAGTTGGAGATGTTACCTGCAGAAATTTGAAACCCATCCCGGAATAAGACAGGGGCCAGCAATAGTTATGGACTTGTAACCTTATTGCGTTGTGAATTGAATGTGCCACGTCATCCTATTTTTAGACATGGCGGTTCACTGTTGATTGGCAACTGGGATGGCGCATAGCCAAAATGAGAAGTCACACGCGACAACTCTTGAGGAATTTGAACATGTCGGCTGGATAACAGAGGGGGATTTATTATGCTGTTGAAATGAGTTTTTGCAATGGGTAGTTTCGTTGTGAGTACATTTGATGGGAATGAGTTAGACTAAGGCTTAGTCTCTGAATATATATAATTTTGATAGTAACAAACAAGCCCATTTATATTGAAAAGGAGCCCTAGGGAGACCAGAGATTCAGAACCTGAGGAAATCTAGACTTGCTTTATTTAGGGCTTTAGCACTGCAGAGAGGGCTAGGCAGTAGGGAAATTAATGTGGTTCAGGGACTGTGAGACAGACTAGGAATGAGTGAATGGGGTTCTTGGTCAACGACTGCATATTTACGGCGGACTTTAATTAACAGAATCTTGGCTAATGTTTAATTGTAAGCAACCGTCCACGTGACGTCCGGGATGAAGTAACACGGTCGTATTTGTTTCACTATGGATAGTAGCGCTACAACTATCGAAACTGAGAAGCTACTTAAACATAGATTTGCAACAGTCGGAGTATCGTAATTGTTGTAACTCCAAGGCTACTTTAGCAATGACTTGCAACAGTCGGAGTATCGTAACTGTCGCAACTCAAAGGCTAGTTTAACATCGACTTGCAACAGTCAGAGTGTTGTAACTGTCGTAACACCAAGGCTAGTTTAACATAGACTTGCAACAGTCGGAGTATCGTAACTGTCGTAACACCAAGGCTAGTTTAACATAGACTTGCAACAGTCGGAGTATCGTAACTGTCGTAACACCAAGGCTAGTTTAACATAGACTTGCAACAGTCGGAGTATCGTAACTGTCGTAACACCAAGGCTAGTTTAACATAGACTTGCAACAGTCGGAGTATCGTAACTGTCGTAACTCAAAGGCTAGTTTAACATAGACTTGCAACAGTCGGAGTGTGAACATTCGAACTACATTTAAGCATTTAAGGTGACCATGAGAACAAAATTGTTTATTTATTTACATATGAGAGAATGTCGCCTACCTGAAAACACCATAGTACAGTGGATACGCCATTATTAATCCCTCCACTTGTCTGTTTCAGAATGCAAGCAACAAGTGCCATGGGCGTTTCTCAAACTATCGTGTAACGCGGATATCGTTATGTGTACTAGGAATGCTTGACACACAAGCCGGATTTGTCCTTGCGTGGACTACGATGCACCAGCTTTTGTCCATTGAGTTCGATTACATTGCAGCTTCACACATTCATTTTTAGCAGTGGTAGAAATTCCCTAGTCGCATTCTAACAACTACCTTTAACATCCCAGTCGCTGCCTGGTCACATCCCAACACCTATGTTCAACATCACAATCAATCCCTCAGTCATCCAACACACACTTTTAACATCACAAGCGGTCCCTAATCACATCACAGCACCCGCCTTTAACATCACAAGCGGTCCCATAGTCACATCCCAACACCCACCTTTAACATCACAAGCGGTCCCATAGTCACATCCCAACACCCACCTTTAACATCAAACCTCTCCCTAATCACATCACAGCACCCGCCTTTAACATCACAAGCGGTCCCATAGTCACATCCCAACACCCACCTTTAACATCACAACCTCCCCTAATCTCCCACAGCACCCGCCTACATCACATCATAGTCACAGCACACCTTTAACGCCTTTAACATCACAAGCACCCGCCCCATAGTCACAAGCGGTCCCATAGTCACATCCCAACACCCCTTTAACATCACAAGCGGTCCCATAGTCACATCCCACCCGCCACATCCAACCTTTAACATCCCAACAACCTCTAACATAATCACATAGTCACATCCACACAGCACCCGCCTTTAACATCACAAGCGGTCCCATAGTCACATCCCAACACCCACCTTTAACCACCTTAACCTAACATCACTTTAACATCACAAGCGGTCCCTCACATCCCAACACCCACCTTTAACATCACAGCCTTTAACACCCCCGCCTTTAACATCACAAGCGGTCCCATAGTCACATCCCAACACCCACCTTTAACATCACAACCTCCCCCTAATCACATCACAGCACCCGCCTTTAACATCACAAGCGGTCCCATAGTCACATCCCAACACCCACCTTTAACATCACAACCTCCCCTAATCACATCCACAGCACCCGCCTTTAACATCACAAGCGGTCCCATAGTCACATCCCAACACCCACCTTTAACATCACAACCTCTCCCTAATCACATCCCAACACCCACCTTTAACATCACAAGCGGTCCCATAGTCACATCCCAACACCTACCTTTAACATCACAAGCGGTCCCATAGTCACATCCCAACACCCACCTTTAACATCACAAGCGGTCCCATAGTCACATCCCAACACCCACCTTTAACATCACAAGCGCTGCATGGTCACATCCTATCACCCACCTTTAACATCACAACCTCTCTCTGGTCACATCCATCACCCACCTTTAACATCACAAGCCTCTCATAATCACACCCACCACAGCACCCACCTTTGACATCACAAGCGGTCCCATCCCATAGTCACATCCCAACACCTACCTTTAACATCACAGTCACATCCCAACACCATCACCTTTAACATCACAAGCGGTCCCATAGTCACATCCCAACACCACCTTTAACATCACAAGCGGTCCCATAGTCACATCCCAACACCCACCTTTAACATCACAAGCGGTCCCATAGTCACATCCCAACACCCACCTTTAACATCACAAGCGGTCCCATAGTCACATCCCAACACCCACCTTTAACATCACAACCTCTCCCTAATCACATCACAGCACCCGCCTTTAACATCACAAGCGGTCCCATAGTCACATCCCAACACCCACCTTTAACATCACAAGCGTCCCATAATCACATCACAACACCCGCCTTTAACATCACAAGCGGTCCCATAGTCACATCCCAACACCTTTTAACACCTTTAACATCACAACCTCTCCCTAATCACATCACAGCACCCGCCTTTAACATCACAAGCGGTCCCATAGTCACATCCCAACACCCACCTTTAACATCACAAGCGGTCCCATAGTCACATCCCAACACCCACCTTTAACATCACAACCTCTCCCTAATCACATCACAGCACCCGCCTTTGACATCACAAGCGGTCCCATAGTCACATCCAACACCCACCTTTAACATCACAATTTCTCCCTCTTCACATGTGAAAACCAACCTTTAACATCACAATCGCTCCCTCAGTCATCGTAACACCCAATTTAACCACAACCGATGCCTAAATAATCCCAACATGCACCTTTGACATTAAAATCGTTCACTAAAACCAACATCCCTTAAACATCAGGGTCGCTCTACATTCCCATACTAGTATTAGCCGAGTTCCATCTCAAACCCACCCTTGGCATTGCCACGACTTACGATCCGATCGTGTACTTCAACTTCCGCTTTCTACACCATCACCATCTCCATCCCCACTAACATCATCTCCATCTCAACTCAAACATCAACATCAGTGCACCGACATCACCCAGTATGCAGACCACGGCAATCACAGTCAATACTTTATGAATTCAGTACATTTCATAATATCCGCCACTCGCACGTAATGGATTTTCTGGTTCAACGCCGTTACAAATGCCATTGCATCATGTAGCATAGTAACAACATGCCGTCAATAATCTGCCAACACGACAACACCAAGTCCTCAGACAGACTCAACTATCTGCATAATATTGCATGTATCATTTCACGGCTACGAATAAGTATGATCCGGGTCATTACGACTTCCTGAACAATGCGACCTCTTCACCCGGATCTGCTTGTCCTTCAAACTAATACGCCTTCTTTAGACGACGCCGCTACGTGAGCACTTCAGATTGGTAATTCACCTCGGTTTAATCATTGCAAAAATAGTATATTGTTTTTCCTAAATATCCATTTCATCTGATCAATGTTAATTATCAAATGTGCTGTCTGTAAACAGTAACAGGTCCGCCATTTTGTATTGGTTCAAAACGAAAGTAGAATATCAGCAGGCTTTTGAAAAGGCCTAGATGAATACTCTGATACTCTATATACCTATTAAATAACGCCTGACATTATCAACTTGATAACTGGTTGCCGATGCGAGTTGTGAGAGTGTTTGCGCTGGGTGACCGCCCGTATTACTTTACGAGATCAGACTCTGCTCTGATGTTGGGAGCACAGGAAACAATTGCAAGGTCTCATATATCTACATGCATATTGATAATGTGAATACGTCCTTTTGTGATATATATGACAAGTCCGATGTTGATTCAATGCACATACTGAAAAAACGTATACTATGCTTGTTATTCTTAAAGGATTCAGAATGTCCGTGCTTGTATTAACATACAGCTAAATACTTATGAGGGTCAGTCATATAAATATGTTTGTATATATAAATTATACGTGTTTATCAGTGCCTGAGTTTGTGAATTTCAGTATGTATATTTCACAGGTGTGATATATATATATATATGTATATGAGTAAGTGTGTATGAAAATTAATCTACATATGTTCATGTATGAAAGCATATGTGTCGGTGAGTGGATGTCTTATGTGTTTATGCATGTGCATGTGTTCATGTACGAACACATATGTATCAGTGTTTGTGTGTACTATGCCCATACGTTTAGAATGTGTGTGAGATTTCATTCATGAATGCAATACATCTGTGATTAGAAAGACAGAGAGTTTTCACGTGTCTTTTCCCGATGCTCGACCGTTTTAAAATGTTATATTGACCACAGAATCAAAAGATGTATAAATGACACCAAATGAATAAAAATATTAAAACCGTCCAGTTGAAATATGTTTTACATATGTTTTTTCAATATCCGATATTGATCTTCAATGATAAAATTGATGGGCAACGACCGGCTCCTTGAATGTATCCTAACTATAGACCAGCTGTCGTGATCACAGATTCCTTGTACGACAAGGTATGTTAGACGAGGTGAGGTATGTTAGACGACAGTGCTGTATATGTCGGTTGACACGTATACAATGATTTCTGTTGGTGACCTTTGTTATGAAATCCTTCCGCACCCCAGATATTAAGTTGATCGATACTTTTATATAAATCGAAAATCTAACACCAGTCGTGCTGAAGTTCAAATCACTGACCACATCGACAGTCTGTGTAAGTTCAGACTTAAGAGAGTAGTTTTTATGTTAGTTACTGCATAGGTATCACTCCCATATTCCTGTTCAATTAACCATAAATATCGGATCATTTCATTGCTCCAGATAGAAATATGCTGTTTATTTAATTGAGTACAAATAAACCTATTCCCAAATATATCAAGAAAAGTTTATAATAAACTACATCTCGAAGGTTAAACCTTTCTAAAATATATGTTTGAGTGTCAAAGTACGTGAAACATGGCCGTCTCTCTGGAGCGTCAGGTAATGACGTCATCTGTTCATCTATATATAGAACTCACTGTGGTGTGAAGTCAAATATAACGTGTATTACTATGGACAGATCCGAAGTTGGCTTGACCGTGAAATATATATTACCTCAGTGCTCAGGCTCCATACTGAAAGTCCGCTCCTCAAAGCCTATCCCAGAACACCCACACACACGCAGGACGGAGGGAAATTTTCTGGGGAATTCCCTAGTTAAGTAACCTCTAGCACAGTGTGAATATAAGTTTTGTCTCAAAAATTATCGAAAGTACATGTAAAACACGACAAATCAATTAAGAAGTCAAGGAAAATTCACTTGGGTTAAAAATAAAATGGTTTACAGACCATAATTCTCATTCCACAGAACGCGTGGGTATTGTCCATCGAGGTCGACAGTAATATCGACAGAATAACTGGGAAATCCCATATGATCTAGATCAGATCAAAGTATTAAAACACGTCGTAACCCTCATTTGTATATTTAAGCAGGCAAATATAATTGTATGTACTGTTTATAAGGATATTTGCAGCAATAAATTGACAATAACGAAGCACATCGAAGGAGTCTGGGTTTTTCCAGAGTTTCTAATCTGAGGGGATTCCCCTACCACGCGATCGCGCTGCTCCACTCGTGCGGCCCTATCAGTGAACGACCTTGAACTATAACCTTTGCATAGGTCAACTTTTGCGGGATGTACATGACGCGTGACCAGACACGCCTATTTATAAGGGTCATAAGTCATTATTCTGAACATGCGCGCACACACATGGTGAAGCCCCGCAACAGGTATTATCAATGTCGCAGTTGCTATGGCAGCCTCAGCTTGGCTTTCAAAATAATGAGACACATGGTAAAAACCTTGGTACACGTATATTTCAATCAGTATATTTTCTTTCTGTCGTTCGTCTGATCACGCTTTTGGAACATAATAATCATAATTCAGTTTTAAGTCAATAAATTTCAGTTTGACAATACGTTCATTCTGAAATCGATACGCCCGCGTCAAATAAAGCAACAAAATAGCACATTTCAAGTGTTTATGTTTAAATTGAAACAAAATGGTTCATTCGTGAAGGATGCAAGGTTGAAATCGGTTTGCGAAGTACAAATGCATTTAACTCTTGTTAATCAAATTTATGAAAATATGTGTCAGCATGGCGGTATTAGACAGCTGCAACGGAAGAATCCATTTACACTGAATAGGGGACTGCGCATGTGGTGGAATTAATTGTCACACGGTGCATTCATGATGTAGGCGCACATGTGTTTGCCAAACGCGCCACTTCGCCGGCTCGACGCATACACTGAGAAGGATTGTGAAATATTTGCCGCCTTCAGCTGCTTGTATATGTAGATGAGTAATAACGGATTATCTATTCCGAGTGAATGAAACTTGTCAATCCCGAACTCCGGGCAGCGAACACCACTTTTGAATATGGGATAGTCCGGAGAAAGACGAACTCTGTTGTTAATACCCCGAGTCGACAGCTTAGTAATGAGGTGGACCGTGAATGTGTAGTGTTTTATCATAAAGAATCCATAAAAATGGATTCAGTTAAATGCCTTTATGATATGAAGAAGTTTCTTTGTTTTGTTTGCTTGTTTGTTTGTTTGTTTGTTTCAGCAATTTCCCAGCTATATCTCGGCGATCTGTAAATATTCGAGTCTGGATCAGACAAATTAGATGGTACGGTACAAGAATATGCGACCCGTGAAGATCCGGGATAGAATAGGTCTTCAGCAACCCATGTGCTTGCCATAAAAGGCGACTATGCTTGTCGTAAGAGGCGACTAACGGGATCGGGTGGTCAGTTTCGCTGACTTGGTTGACACATGTCATCGGTTCCCAATTGCGCAGATCGATGCTCATGCTGTTGATCACTGGATTGTCTGGTCCAGACTCGATTATTTACAGACCGCCGCCATATAGCTGGGATATTGCGGAGTGCGGCGTAAAACTAAACTCACTCACTCACAAGAATATGCATCGAACCATCGCACTCTCGTAATAAAGAAGTTGTTATCCATAAAGTGTGTCTATTTTGTACTTCCCAGCTTTGAAAATGCCCCTCAAAGAAGTTATGGATCAGACAATCCTGTGATCGACATCATAGCATCGATCTACACAGTTGGGATACGAGACCCTGCATTAACCAACCCAGGGAGTCCCGATCCCGTTAGACCATTAACTAACACAGATCTTCACAGGTTGTTCACACAGTACAAATGCATAAAATGCAGAAACGAAAACCCAGTAAATTCTCAAAAATGTACAGCTTATGAGCAGTAATGATGTACAATATGGATTTTTGTTAACCGTTGGCTATCGCTGACAAGATTTTATTGTTACGCACAAAATTATGTACCGTAATATCATGCACCCTACGTTCACAGTAAATGACCATTTACAGGATCTTCTCAGTCCACTGTGTGTCCTTAAAAATGGTTCGAATAGCATCAGAAAACGTAAAACGTTTCATTCTGTAAACTTTGAGTGTGGAAATGTAGTTTTACGCCGCTTTCAGCAATATTCCAGCAATATCACGATTGGGGACACCAGAAATAGGCTTCACACATTGTACCCATGTGGGGAATCGAACCCGGGTCTTCAGCGTGACCACTAGGCTACCCCACCAACTTGGAAACGGAAAACTTCAGGGTTGCATGCGACCTACAAGTCTGCGTCCAGTACGCTTAAATGTATATGGAGTGGATGCCGAAAACATTCATTGCGTCACTGGGATCGGGTGGTCAGGCTCGCTGACTTGGTTGACACATGTCATCGGTTCCCAATTGCGCAGATCGATGCCCATGCTGTTGATCACTGGATTGTCTGGTCCAGACTTGATTATTTACAGACTGCCGCCATATAGCAGGAATATTGCTGAGTGCGGCGTAAACCTAACCTCACTCACTCACTCATTGCGTCACAAGCATAATAACAATGTTTTAATCTGATACTGCTTCGGTACAGTTATCAGTTTCACATCGATTTCAGTCAGATACAAAACATATAGTTTAAAAGTAAAAATACATATGTCCAAATTCCGTTTTTATAGTGAGAGAGTGAGTGAGTTTTTCGCCGCTTTTAGCAATATTCCAGCAATATCGCGGCGGGGGACACCAGAAATGGGCTTCACACATTGTACCCATGTGGGAAATCGAACCCGGGTCTTCGGTGTGACGAGCGAATGCTTCAACCACTGGGCTTCCCCACTGCCCCTTTTATAGATATATAACGAAAATATAGTGAGGGTTCTGAATTGAGCGACCGATTTCAATTTCAAACGAAATCTGTTGTACATTGCCGTCTCGCCATGGGAAACGTCCACGTAGTGGCGACGTTGACATACCCTACACAAAGATACAGTGACAAACAGTGTTTACAGTAGGTTTAAAATCATACGACAGTGCAACTGTAATAAAAACGATATAAAGCTGTAAAAACAATAAATTTCACGTAGATTTACAGTAAACCAGCATCATATCACGGTAAGGATGTGTTAACAGATAAAGCTCTTGTTACAGAAGATCAAACATACCGAGCCTTCCTTTGCTGAGTTATAGTTGGTTGGGTGGTTGGTTAACGCCGCACTCAGCAATATTCCAGCGGTCTGTAAATACTCGAGTCTGGACCAGACAATCCAGTCATCAACAGCATCAGCATGGATCTACGCAATTGGGATACGATGACGTGTTTTCCAAGTCAGGGAGCCTGACCACCCGATCCCGTTAGTCGCCTCTTACGACAAGGCCGATTCTAACCAGATCTTGAAGTGTCAACTACAGACAGTATAATGGCAGCTATGAAGAAATATTGGAAACGTTTTGGAGTATCCTAATGATTGGCAAACAAAATTCCTCAATTCCGTGGAAAATTTGTAGACATTAAGAGAACTTATAAATCAAATATTCTGAACCTAACCACAAATTTACAAAATGCCAACGATACAGCTGGCCATTTTTCCTGCTGAGCTATAAAGGTGGAAGTGGCTGCATTCAAGCTGATGCAGCTGTTGCAGCTGTTGCACCTGTTCCAGAGAAGTTCAACACTGATACGAAAGTAAACTATACTCCTCCACCTCCCCGATTAGTGCCTTTCTCCCCGCAAGCGACGTTACCGCCAAATCGATACCTGCCTTTCTCCCCGCAAGCGACCTTACCGCCAAATCGATACCTACCTTTATCACCGCAACCTACGTTACCGCCAAATCGATGTCTACCTGCCTACCTCCCCGGAAGCAGCGTTACCGCCAGATCGATTCTCTTTCTCTCCGCAAACGACGGTACCGTCAGATCGACACCCGCCTTTCTCCCGGGAAGCTATGTTACCGCCAATTCGATGCCTGTCGACCTCCTTGCATGCTACCTTACTACCAAATCGATACCTACCTACCTGCCTACCTCCCCGCAAGCTATGTTACCGCCAGATCGATGCCTGCTGACCTCCCGGGGCGCTACGTTACTGTCAAATCGATGCCTGCATTCCTCGGGAAGCGATGTTACCGTGAGATCGACTAGTCTTAGCCTTTACTGGTACAGACCCTAAAACAAATATACCAAACAGAGCCCATTTGACAAGTCTAGATCGCTACAGTTCCTAAAATAAATTAAGTCTCTTGCCTCCCTTCTATTATATCTGACTGCCTCCGTGGTGTAGTGGTTAGAGCGTCCGCCCGGAGAGCGGAAGGTCGCGGGTTCGATCCCCGATCGCGTCATACCAAAAGACGTTAAAATATGGTACTTGTTGGTCCCTGTCTGGCGCTCGGCACGAATGGGTACAACAAGGACTGGTCGGCTCGGAGTCAGTATAATGTGTCTGAGCGGGGTATTCATGCTTCACTGCGGCATTGTATCTCAGTGGGCTAGCACTATAAAACCAGCTTCAGTCTGGGCTAGTACAAGCAGCTGCACAAACACATACACACGCATGCACATCGTCATATGAGCGAAATATTTTCAAGTACGACGTTAAACCCAATTTCACCTCACCTCATCTATTATATCTTATATAGGAAATCAAAAACGTTTTCTTCTGTAATATATATTGGTTTCAGAGACTAGATGATAGTCTAGCTGTTCCGGAAGCGCGATGGTAAGATTTCAAACTTAATGTCAAGTGTGGCACCAGATTTCGGGCTTTCGGGGGAAACTACATCTTATTATATAACCATAACTTATGATTACCTGCCACCTCTGCGTTGTTTTCGACTGGACAGGTGACGGTCAAGTGTTGTGTCATGTGTTCTCTGATGGTTGTTCAGCAGCAATTCCAATGTCATTATACAACATGAA